GCAATATGGAACTTGTAACTGCCGGTACCCAAAGGACAGTGAATGCAAACTAAGTGTTCATAAGGGCACGTTCATGTTAACATAAGCGCAATCATCGTCTTTTTCTGCGATGACGTTGAGGCAAACAAAAATTATCGTTACGTTTTGACTTTCCTCCGTAAACTAGACTACAACAAAACCGGAAGTTAGAAACTTTGCCATTACAATATGGTGTGGGTCCCCGGATATGTGAAAATAATTCACGTAATACTGTAAATACTTTTAATTCAGCATTCGTATAGGGCCGTATAGGCATGAGCTGTCTTCGCTCGCTCGAACACAGGGATCGTAGGTTCGAATCCCACTCAAGCCATGGATGTCTTTGTTTAGGTACCAGTCTTGCGACGGGCAGATTCCCCATCAAAGGAGACCTACCGAATGTAATAGGATTACGAAACTGAAGTGAAACAAAGCGTTTCACTGATCCTCTTTGCTCCAAAGTGGAACACGAAACAAAGAGAGAGAGAGAGAAATATTCATATAGGGAAATAATCTGAAAATTTGCTATGCGAAAGAAATTAATCAAATGAAGCACAGACGCTGGAACTGTTTGTCCTGTGTATCAATAAGTTAAGTTATTAAACTAACCATACAAATTGTCACACTAGTATTTGTGAAATATTTGTAGTAGCTTGAAGAAAGACATTTAAAGGGGATAAAGGCGATGTAAAGCATGGAATGTAAATATAACCATGACTGTTGTGTTGGAAGCATGGATGAGGAGTTTTCACCGCTTGTGTTGCACTCCCAACAGCCCACAGTACGAGTTACTACTGAGGGCTACTGAGTTCCTCTCTACGGTAGCTGCCACCACTCTATTGGTCGGTCATCTTATGTTATCTTCGGATAGGATCACGTGGATCGGGTGCAAGGTGTCTAACGGCAAGGATGTGGTTTTTGAATTACAGTACTTATATTTTTTAACATCAACACTCCACCCTGCCGTAGTGTGAAACTAACCTGGTTCTCTTTCAGTAAATAATAATTTTGCCAACCTCTCTGATCTCTGATGGCACTGAGTGGTATCCAGTTTCGTGCCCACTTCCTTGAAAGTAGAATCACTGCAGTTAGAATCGATCTCAGGTATCTGGGATCAATAGCTACTGCTCGAAGGAAGGTTCCTGTTGTCCTGAGACATTCTCCTTGGCTGGACCTCACTAGTGACGTCCGTCTCCGTCGCGAAAGTAATCGAAAGACGCTTCCAAAAGCAAAAACCTTCCGAACTACCGTCAGACTCTCAACCCAGCAGCTTTTTCGCAGGCACATCAATGAAGTCAGCGGCCACTGCAGCCCTTCCGCGTTCTTGAAATATGCATAATAAGAACATGCGCGGTGCTGGTTGTTCCCCGTCTGCATGTTAGTTAGTCTTCCTGGTTGCACAATCCACGCCTCTGTGATCTATTGGTTAGAGTTTCTAGCTACAGATCCAGAGGTCTGGGTTCGATTCCCGGTGCTACCAGAATTTCTGAGAAGTAGTGGGTCTAGAACGGGGTCCACTCAGCCTCATGACGATAATTGAGGAGCTACTTCAAGGAAATAGCGGCTCCGGTCTAGAAACCCGAAATTAACGGCCGTGGGGATTCGTTGCGCTGATCACGCGACACCCTTTTCCCGCTAAAGTTGGCACTAACTTCGCCGACAAGCGGCGGTTGCTCAGTCGGTATAGTTCACTTGCGGACGAAAACCATGGAGTTTGTTTGGTTGTACAATCCACAATTCTAATATTTCTAACTTCCAAGTGAAAAGAAAACTATGAGGGGGGGCATGTGTTTAGACCGTAACAGTGGCATTGTCATTTTCACAACAAAATTTTATTACGAATACAACAATGTCAGATGTATGAATGTCCATAAGGAGGACATTGGACAGTCAGAGTTGGCTTTATGTTTTATAAAAATATTTCGGATAGAGCATGGAAACTTATGGTGTCATATAGCCTGCATCATGAGAATATTCAGCACTTCTTGGTGGACAGCCGTGGAATAACTCTCATGCTTTCAGGGAATTATGAGGAAATGCAGAACATACACAAAATGTACTGACGGAGGACATTATGTATGCTCCTGCACGTTCCACCGAGACTACTTTCGCTACGCGCCTTCTACCCTGCGGCAGAATCACTTTGGGAAGGCTGGTGGTATTCATCCAAATTGTCAGTGGCGTGTGCTTTTCAGAATATGTAATTAATTAATTATTGTATATTATGTAATGTATAATGTAATACATAAGGAACAGGTTAGTCAGGGGACACGCGGTACCGTAGTTGGTTGAGGCAAAATGCTACAAGCCGTGAAGTCACTGATTCAGTTCCCCGATGAAGTCATTGGATATTTTCAGTTCACCTAGTCCTTCCAGCCGCACTATAACTGGAGTCGATTCAGCCTCTAACAGAAATGAGTACTAGGAATCTTTCTGGGAGTAAAGGGCGGCCGGAGCGTAAGGCTAACTACCTTACCACTATCTGTGAACCTTCAGAAAAAATGTTATATTTTAGCGTCCTGTTACACACACACAAATCCAGCAGTACAACGCATGCAATAACGGAGCAAAACACAACACAGAACACGATACACAAATATATATGTAGGAAGAATGCTTACATAAAAGAGGATTGGCGTAATTCGCGTGTTTGAGTGCGACGTAGGAAGAATCCTGAAAAGTTTTATTATTTAGAATTCATCGTCTTATATGACGAATACAGATTTTAGTCATTTTAGAATGAAGACATTATGGCATGCAGTACAATAGTTTAACGTGCATAAAGACACCTGAAGATGGCACATTAGTGCTGAAACAGGTAGTGTGGAAGTGAAGAATAAGGTGAAAAAATGTACACACTGTAAGGCGGTCAGCATAAACCGTGGACTTCAGAAAAATGTTAAGCTTTTTAAATTCTAGTAAATTTCGGTTCTCTGAGGCTGCAAAATTTGCATAGATTTCGGGCAGTTTGTGGTTCAGTATATTTCATATTCTGGAAATACTCGAAAATCTGTTCAGTTATTCCGTTATTCGAAAATACTTTAAAGGATTTGCTACAAGCGTTTCTAGGCACAGACTCGGTATACACGTTCCAACTGCAACAATGGAAGATGTGTCTTAGTGGATGAATGTTATAGCTCGTGGCTAGGTAACAGTCAGCGAGCCAACGAACTCGCTGGCTAGGAATCACGTAGCTTGTGTTTTCTGTGTTGTCCGTGCGGAACCTAGATAACGAAGACCTGTCGTAGCTTATACTTGTGAAGAGTGTAAAAATATATATATCACATATTTACTCCTCTGAGAATAATGTAACCTCTGGTGAAATAAGGTTTATAAAGTGAACAACAATTAAAGAAAAAGACCAACCCATCCTTCTTATCACTAAGGATGACCAACGAAGATGGAAAAAGAAGACAAAGGTCTAGACACTAAACCAAAATGTGACCATGGCTTCCAGAGGAGCTTGATGCCAGGAGTGACTGTGCTTGCTGATTGCTGGCAGTAAACTTCTGCTCTGCTCTACTTAGATTATGCAGAGCCCAATGCAGTTCAGTGTAGTTAGGAGTCCAGGAGAGCTTTTAGTTGGGTTCAGAGGTTCCATGGTGATTGAACAAGAAAGGGAATGAATACTTCATAGTGATTTGAAGTGCTAGTTCTGTGTTCAGATCTAGCGAAGACGGCGAATCCTAGTGTGTGCGTGTGTGTGCAGCTGTGAACTGTAAATTGTGCAAATCATCGATAGCGCTGTATTGATTGTAATTAAGATAACTTGTAACCGAAGTGCTAATGAATCTAATCATCCCATCTAGAACCCGTTAATTTAGTCACGCGTACCCTCCCACCATGCATGTGACAATAGTTTGCTTCGGAACATTTAAAATGTGCATATTACGTTAACATTCGACAAGTTAAATCTCTTCATTCTATAAGAATTAATTTTTATCATTTATTACCAATCTTTTTTTTTTGTCTTGTATCTAAAAACCTAAGGATTAAAATCTCCCTCTTGTTTATATACTTGTACTTATGAAAATGATCTCTCGTTGAAAGGGGATATCGTAAATTGATGTTTTTGAGAACACATGATATATTGTTTGGACCTAAGAGGATGGGGTTCAGCTTGTAATGTGTTTCTCCTAGGTTCTTTTCTTGCCTCGTTGTGGGAACCTGAAATTGAAAACGATAAATTTCTCCGAAACTTCTCTTCTCAACAAGAGAAACTCAGTTCTCTCCGTTATTATGTGCACACGTGTATTTTTGTTTCCAAATGCTCTTGGGTTCATTATTTTCTTCCCAGCTTTGAATTAAAAAGTCAGAATAGTCTATTCCCCATTTGAATTTCTTACTGACATAGCGTTTTCAAATATCTGTCTGCTCAGGACTCATGAAAATAAGTACTAGCCAAAAACTGGGTATTTTCGGCAGTCCGCTCGCATTAAAGGAGGACAGGAAACGAAGCATTCCTCAGAGAGAATTTCATTGAGATTTTCATATTCATATCCCAGCTGTATAAATTATTTAATTGTAAGAAAGAAGCCTGAATTTGAAGGGATGTATTTTTACGTTGTATACTACACCACTCTGATCTATATTAAATCTTAAAAACCTATCAGAAGACAAGCAGATTTCAACACAAAATATTATTTTGTGCTGTTCCGACATGTTTCGACATTTAAATGTCGTCTTCATGTGTATCCGTTCAATAGATACATTAGGAAGAACTTGCTTACGTTTCTTTCAAACTATTATTTATGTATAATCGATAATATTGTGAAGTGACCTTGAACACTTTTTACTAATGCATTTATTTAATGGATACTCCTGCAGAATACATTTGAATGTTGAAACATGTAGGGGCATCAACTAAGTTCAACAAGTAGTACTATGTGTTGTAATTTGACTGCCTTCTGATAGGTTTTTAAATATGCTAAATGGACTTTTGCAACAAGGGATAAGGCAGCCACAATTAGCAGTCACTCATGTCTATGCTGAAGGTATGATGTTTATTTGCCATCGGATGTACAGAGATTTCTGACTTTACATTTCACCTGTGTGGGATTTCATATTGGCAGTGTTTTACATTTTCGTGAGCTGTAGATATACATTAGATGTCCGCGTCCATGTTGTCCACTGGTGGCGTTGTTTTAACCACGAGAGTTCCAGTCTGTGTAGTCGTCCAGATAAGGGGTGGGTAGATAATTGCCACATTTCGGGAACTTCCGCGGCACTGGTGGCCAGTCACCGTCGTTTCCCACCTGAATGACCACAGCCATACCAGTCGCCACGTGGTACAGGAAGTGGCAGTGGAAGAACCACAAACCTGACGAGGACAACACCAACAGATTACAGATTAGCTTAAATTTAACAAAAAGGTAAATTTATCCCTGTGCTTAACTAATTAAGCACTACGCCATGAAGGCGTATGGGGCAGTGGATGCAAAGACCCACGTTTTCTTGACCTCTTCACTAGCTGGAGGTGAATGGTCAGCTTCATGCCCCGGACACTTAACTCCCGCGGAAGAGTCTCCTATACCCATTGGATAGGATGGTGGGTGGACCCCAGAGCCGGTCAGGACAAAGTGGAGAAGAGAAACATTTTTACTCTTCTAGGACTCGAACTCCGACCCCTTGGTCGTCCAGTCCGTAGCCAGTCGCTATTCAGACTACGCTGTCCCGGCTAAAATTAAATAAAATGTTAATTTTCATTAAATTGTAACAGGGCAATCCCAGTTCAACTCTCGGGCTGACCAGCCGACGTAGGCATACACAGTGTGTCCAGGTTCTGTTAGGACTGTGTTCATTAAATACACAAGACGTGAATTATTTTCAAAATTTCACTCTTTTTATTCAAAATAGTCTCCTTCTGAATCAATACATGTGTGCTTGATGCATGATAATGGGACATAGACTCGTTTGTAGCTTTTACGCAGAAAGCTATTTCGAGTGTCGGACAGTTCTCCGTGGATTGGTTCATACAAGTCGTGCACTGTTTCATGTTGGATTGTCTCCATATTTTGCAGTCCGTTTAAATTTCGGCACCAGAATTCTTGTTTGACCAGCCAGTAATGTTAAAATAATTCCTACTTTGCACCTGGTCACCGGAAAGCAGATTGTGGCAGAGCGACCAAAAAGGTACTGTAAATTCAATTCAAGCTCGGGCGATTCTTAAGAATTTACAAAATAGATTATGGCTTGGTGATGCGTCTTGTTCTTCTGTAAGTCTTCATCAGACTCAGAGTACAGGCGATCTGCCTTCTTTGGGTGAGCTTCTGTAAGTTTTTATCAGGCGATCTGCCTTCTTTAGGTGAGCTTCTGTAAGTCTTCATCAGGCTCTCAATCTACAGGCGATCTGCCTTCTTTAGGTGAACTTCTGTAAGTCTTCATCAGGCTCTCAGTCTACAGGCGATCTGCCTTCTTTAGGTGAGCTTCTGTAAGTCTTCATCAGGCTCTCAGTCTACAGGCGATCTGCCTTCTTTAGGTGAGCTCCTGTAAGTCTT